GTACTGTGGAGGGAATAAATTCTTTTAATAATAGTTAAATATGCTCTCAACTCTAGCACATGCGTCTTACGGACGTTATTACTACTCATCATTACGACTTAAATGTCCAACTAAAGCCTATGAGGTCCCAACCCATGCGGCTCCCAACTCCACCCTCTATTGTCTATGAACGTCATCATAATTTATCTCTACGGCCTCTATGTCCAACTGATGCTCTCGAAGCAATCCGTGACTTTTATAGGCACATAACCAAATATTACCACGACATCTACAATAAGTTTGTTCTACAACATTCATGACGCGTTATGACCTTCATAGCCATCGATTGCGGCCTTAACGTTCTATTATAACTATTATTGTTGAGCTATCACTGCATATCGATATTGTAACTCCATCTTCCATAATTTTGTAGAAGAGTAGACCTGTGTATTCACAATTACTCAGTAAATTATTTCAATAGTGCTAGACCCCTTATTTCTTTTTTTCTTTTCAGGTTTTTTCACATAAATATTGAGGCGTCTTCTCCTGTATATTTCTTTTTTAATTATATGTATTAGATTTTCGTTCACTATTAAAACATTAAATTATTATTATTATTGTAATGTTACATCAAAATTTGAAGTTTAATTCGTAGATAAATAAATACATAAAAATTCAGTAGTGGCATGCATCTTGATGTTACGATATATTTCCGCTCTTTTGTTGGTTGTGCTGAAATATTGCGAACCAGCGCTGGTTCTTCGACTCGAGGTTTTCGATTCCGACTCTCCTGTCCGCCGAGCTCTCCCTTTCCGCCGAGCGATGAACTCCGACGAGGCCGACGTTTTGCTCGCGAGCCTTAGTGCACCCCACAAATTCCGAGGTCTATATGTTCGTTACGCCTCCTTTTTACGACCGTTTGAGGACTTCTTTTTTCTTAACCAAAGTAAACCGAAACAATTGCCGACGAAAGATAAAGTCCGCCCCATAGACAGGCGGTTCCTCCAATTTCTCAGCAATGCCTTAAAGATACTGTCAAAACTTCTGAGGAGAAGCAATGGTGCAGAGGGCCATGAAGGAGTGCCCCAAGAAAAGACCATTGAGCTCCTTGGCATCTACAGGCTCGTCATCCATTGCTTCGTATGTATCGATTCTTATCTCTCCGGCAGGCCATGCGTGGCTCTACATTATTGGGGTCAGCTAGTCCTTGGGTCGGAAAATTTGAATAAATACAGTGAAGCTGAAGAAGAGTGTTTTGCTCTTCTCGAGAGTTTTCGCACCTTGCTGGTTAGTCCTCCGTCCTCTTTGAACTCAACCGCACTGTTACTGCGAGATCCAAACACTGTTCAGCAGAGGCATATTCTCGACTTGCGATTCTATTAACTGAAGTAGTAATAGTTCTCACTTACTGCGCTCATAAGTCCCAATCAAGGGACGTGAGTATTTTTAAAAGAGTATTGGCTTTAGCAGAGCAAGTTCATCCATGGATTTGGTAGGTAGAAATGACTTTTTAATTCCATACTTGTTCATTAATGTTGTTGTTGTTGATGTGATTTTTGTTTCTCTTTTTATGTGTTTTCTTTTTTTTTCTACAAGTATCATGGAGACAAAGGCTATTAAAAAATTCCACCCCATCCTTGTCAAAGCTTTCTATAATTGTGCGCTCTTCGTAGCTAAAGAGCATAAGTCATTTGATGATGATCTAGTGCATTATTTCTGTTTAAAAATGCTGAAGGAGTGTACGGAGTCACCATTGCTGGATCACTTCCCTATTGTACGTCAAATGCACTTAATTTTGTTATCAGATTGCATTGTTTTGATCATTAGATTGTTAAATGTATGTCTTAATATGCGCTGACATTGAGATTCAAATATAGATGGCTCATCAAATTTGTTCTGACATTGATGCTAAATGGGACAGAAAGTTCTCTCTGTTTGTTGGTGTGGTAAAAATGAGCTTGGAAATTAGCTTTTGTTGGAAAAAAGTATGTTTTTAATATCTCATGCAATGAACACTATTGATTTTCTGATGCACTTGAGATAACTCTGACTCACTTTTCCATTTTTTATTTCTTGTTTATATGAAGAAGCTACTTTTATCGTATGAGATCTACCATCTTTTATCTATTCCTGGAAGTAAATGTAATTTTTTTCAATGATATTTATTAATGTTTATTGTTAAAAAATTAATTGTCATGGAACTTTATACTACTTAAGGAAAATTACCTTAATGTTTTGTTTTAATCTTCTATCTCGGATCAAGTTTATTTTTATTTTATTTTTGTTCTTATTCAAATTAATGAAACATCGTGATGGAAAGTAGAAACAATATAAAAACATATTTATCTGCAATTATTTTATTATCTGAAGTTGCATTAATTATTTTACATTGAGTTTTGCTGAAATGTTGAATTACAAAGAAGATTTCACATTCTTCTTTCTTTTGATTAGTTTGAATTAATTGCAATCATGTTTTGTTGTGGTTACTGTTTCATATATAATTTGCAGGATCCATATATTGTCACTTGCATTCTATCTTTTCCATTGTGTAAGATCCTCCATATATCCTTCAAATGATTTTGGCAGGTTGATTTAGAAAAATATGTGGCTGAATTGCTTGGTTTTATATCAAAATTTGCTAAGGAATTTGATTTAAGTGGGAAGGTTGCATGTAAAGATGATTCAGAATTGTCACTTGAAGTAGCAGATAATATGCAACAGGTTTGTATTTAGCGTATTTAGTAATGTTTAATCTACTTTCTTTGTGGTTCAATACATTTCATTCTATTGTACCTTTGTCTTGACAATTTCTACTATTTGCATTTCCAGCTTTCCCTATTCTTCTCCCAAATAACTGACCATGCTCTCAACTTCCTATTGTGGTCTAGTTTTGATTATTAATAGTATGCATGCTATTGGATGTGAACTCTTTGAGTATATTATTGAAATTGACAACAACTTTTCAGTGAAACCGCTTTTCATATTAGTGTGATGATCCTTTTAAATGATCTCTATTTGAATTCTTCTTTATTGACTGATTTTCATGAAAATTTTGTTTTTACTATATGTTTAATCCTTGTTCAGCAGAGGCATATTCTCGACTTGCGATGTTCTACTTTCTTTGTGGTTCAATACATTTCATTCTCTCTTTTTCATTCTATTGTACCTTTGTCTTGACAATTTCTACTATTTGCATTTCCAGCTTTCCCTATTCTTCTCCCAAATAACTGACCATGCTCTCAACTTCCTATTGTGGTCTAGTTTTGATTATTAATAGTATGCATGCTATTGGATGTGAACTCTTTGAGTATATTATTGAAATTGACAACAACTTTTCAGTGAAACCGCTTTTCATATTAGTGTGATGATCCTTTTAAATGATCTCTATTTGAATTCTTCTTTATTGACTGATTTTCATGAAAATTTTGTTTTTACTATCTGTTTAATCCTTTATTCTCTGTATTATAAACCTTGTTGTTTTCTAATTAATAAAAAGATCGAGTTTTCTATTACCTCGTTGTTTCATGGTAATATTTATTTTTCTTCTTAGCCTTTAAAAGCTTTGGAACTGTGCTGCAAAACAATATGGAAGCACATACAACATTTATGCCAGCCACAATTGAGTAGTTCTAGAAGCATTCAAGGCTCTGTGGCATCTAGAGATTCAATAAAAGGTGTCATTAAAGATGCATTTACTGAATGTGCCAGAATAATAGATATTTTGCACATGCTCGGTGCCTCCAATTCTCGTGAAGTTTTACTTAAGAGTATATGTGAAATGTCTGTTGTGGAAATCTTATTCCCGAACTCATCCCTCTCTTTTCCATTGGTGAAACAGTGGATAAAGGTACACTTTAACATATCATACTTTGTCTTATATCCATCTTATTGATCTAGCTTGCCTAACAGTTTTAAACTTCAGATGTTATGTAAAGAATTTAGAGATGTCGATCGAGTGGATAGTGCTCCATTGCTTGCTTCATCGTTGCTTGTCCATTGTCCAAGATTGCCAAACAATATTTTGGGAGAGATTCTTGAACAGGCATGGTCTCATAAAACTATTGTAATGACATGAGATTTTCACTTCTTACATTAGTATTCTACATTAATTCTATATTGGATTTACAGGAACTTCAAGCATATGATCAACTAAAAGCATGGAACCCTGTACATTGCCATAAAATGGAGATCAGAGTAATCAATTTTCTCTTGATGAATGTTTTTAATTTTAAAGATTTCAACCTGCAGAGATCTAGGGTTCTTTTGAGGAAGAGTTTGGTACTTAGAACTCGTGGGATAGAAAGTTTCTTCAGCAGTTTTGGCTGTCTCAGTGAAGCTATTTCCCTTTCGGTACTTTTTCGCCATATTGTTACTTTTATGCTTATGTTAGCATTCTAATAAGCCTATCTATGCATTTGTTCATAATGTTTGAATGTAACTTATGCGTTTTAGGAGACTATAACTTATGATTCACCGGAAACAAGCACTTTTGGATATCATTATTTGGCTTTTGTTTATTTCCTACGAGCACAAATTGCTGAAGATACTAAAAAGGACTGGGAGGTAACATTTTGTATTTTAAATTCATAAATCTTCTTCAATTTGAGACGTCAATTACTATGTTTAACGCTAAGTTATATTATTGATGTGTATTTTATGAATTTGATTTATGTTGTAATTCTTTCAGTTAATTCAGTGTGACATAGAACGTGCAATCAAGTTACTATCTCAACTTGACATCAATGTTTGTCAGAATTTGACTTCTAAACTTAAACCAAATATAAAGAGTACAATATCTATATTGTGTCACACTCTTGATCTGCTTTCTTTGAAGGTCTGAATATTTAAATAAAATAAATTTTCTTCATCACTTTCTATTTTTTCTTTTGTAATTATTTCTGTTGTACTACAGGGTTTCTTAAAGTTTCATTTGGACATGTATATTTTGATCAAGTTCTTCTGCAAGTATGCAAATTTTTCATTTGAGAAATTTTTGGCTATGATGTGGACTCGCAGAAGGCTAGGCCTTTTTTCATGTGCTTCTCCAATTGACCCAGATTTAGTTTCAAGAATTTCACAGCTTTCTAATGATGATATCAGCAGTTTTGCTTTTTGGACAGAATGTTTGAAGTGTCCTTCATATTCTATCTTGATTTTCCTTCAAAATTTTTTAATTTGTGATTCTATTTTGAATGAAAAAAATGTTCAACAAATTGAAGATCTTTATGGTTGTACACTGACGATGGAGAAAGTTAAAGTGGTTGTGTCATCCCTTATTTTAAATGTAAGCTTCTTTGCTAAACATAAAGCATATGTGTCTTTTATGCCTCTGAATAACATTTTGATCTTTCATAGTAATATTTGTACTTTTTTTGGTTTTAGGATTGTACAAGGAATGAAAGGATTTTTTTTGTTGGACAAATATATTACAACTTGGCTGAAAGCCTTTTTGCAGGTGGAAGAGCACTTGAGGTAAATAATATTTGCAAACACATTTGACAATGCAGCTTTAGTTAAATTTGGTTACATTTCTTTCTCCATCTATCAGCATTTACCGCTATTGACATCTAATGAATTTTTTCCATCACTTGCTATTTTTTTTTTCTAATGGATTGTTCTCTGTAGTTCAATATTGAACATTAAAAAAATAATAAGATAATGGTAAATCTACCATCTCTAACAAAGATAATTTGTGGAGCAGGGACTTTCATATGCTAAAGAGGCTTTGCTTCTAAGACTTGAAGTCTTAAAGGCAAAGTTTAAGATGCCCAACAACAAGCCTATAGAATTTACAGAATCTTCAAGAGAAACCAATGATGAGCAGGATGTTTGGCGAGGCATAATTAAGTTGAAAAGTTCTCTTAGCCCTTGGATCATTCTTGGTTGCTATCTTGAAAGTATTATGCAGGTCTGTTATATATTATGCAATTTTTTTTTTCTTTCACTTATAACATCTGCATAGAATTTATTTAACTTTTTTTTAGGTTGGAATTTTCCATGAAGAAATAGGGGATGGGGATCAAGCGGAAAAACATTTCCTGATCGGAAAAAGAGTCTCCTTTTTACAGTCTTTACCACATTTTCAGATTGCTTTCAACTGTGCTCTAGGCATTGCCTTGGACTCTTCATTTTATTCGTTTGTTTTAAATCTAAAGAAATATTGGTTGTTTTGACCAACCTTTTTTTTGGATGTTTTCATTCTTCAGGTCAGGTGTACCATAAGAAGCTATTACGGGATTTGGCAGAAGAAGAATTTAACATTGCTCGGAAGCTCTTAAAGGAAAGTGACATCATAATTTCCTGCAGGCATTGCAAGTTGATTTTTGAAGTTACAATTGAGATGCAAATTACAGATTTCTCGACAGAACGCTTGAATAAAGGTTACCATGTCCAGTCTCGTGCTCTTGATATCTATAGATCAGTTTTGAGAAAACTAAGTAATGATAACATGGAAGGTTCTTTTATTGTTTCCTGGAAACAATGTAACACTTACGAATCTCTAAGCAAATTCCATCTTGAGGACACCGGACATATTGTCATAAACAAAGCTAAATTACATCCATTGGAGAGTGACAGGAAATTAGTTCCTTGCCACATTTGTTCTTTTTTAGAAAATAGTTTTGATTCTTTGAAAGTTGAGCAACAGAGCTCAACAATATCAACTGTGCTGCCACATGGTATTTGTTCATTTGATTTTGGATGCTCCGATGGAGGAATTCTTACTAACGTTGAATGTTTGAGATGTCTTTGCCTCAAAATGATAAAAGAGGGAACCATGCAGAATTTAATTCATTTTAAATGGCAATGTCAACGAAGACGTCTTTTATTTAGGCTTTTACTGAAAATTGGTATGTATTTTTCTTTTGAAAATGCATTGGCACGATGAGATGTTTTTTCTTTTGCCTATTTCTCACTGTTTATTTCTTTCTGCTTTTTTATTTAGCAAAATCCTTGGAGGTAACTTGTGAAAAACAGGATGCACATGAAGTACATGGTGTATTTTGCCAATGCATCTCTATGTTGTTTGATGGAAAGCCTTGCTTTGATGCTAATTTCCATGGCTATGATTTAAATTTGCTCAAATTAATGGAGGACAATAATACAGGGGACATTTTTTCTGCTGAACGTGCTGCTTTACTGTACAATATGAGCTGGTTCTTTTTGAAAGATTTTCATCCAGAGCACATGAGGTGATTATTTAAGTTGCGTTTTGTTCTGTTTGTTACAAATCTGATTCCCTTTTTTTGCTCTTCACGAAGCTTACTTTTATCACTTCTGTTTTCCAGCACCAATTGTTGCTCACTCTCAAATGTACAGATGCACGACATCATTTCATGGTTATTAATGGCCTTCATACTATGCCGAGAGATCCCATCACTTTTTCAAAAGGTTAATGAAAATATATTATCATTGTTAAATTCGGAAAAAAAAATTATTTTTATCCTAAACCGAGTCCTATATCTCTTCCTAGGATTGCCAACGTTTGGGTTTTTTTTTT